AGAGACAGGGGAGGGAGAGGAGAGAGAAGAGAGGGGAGAAGAGAGAGACAGAGAGAAGAGAGAGGGAGGGAGAGGAGAGGCATGTGAGGAGAGAGCGGATAGGGGAAAGAGGAGATAGAGGACAGGAATGTGAGGAGAGGAGAGAGAAGAGACAGGGGGAGGAGAGAGAGAGGAGAGAAGAGGGGGTTTCTCTCTGGTCTCTCTCTGGTCTCTGTATACAGTTTATCTTGTCGGTGTAAATGCCGTTCCTCTGGTGCCTCAGACTAATTGGTCAGTGCGGCTAAAGATTCTCTGGGGTCAGAGTCGGAGCCGAATGGAAACAGCTCAAATTGAATTAAACAGAATCAAAAGGTCTCGTAAGAACAGCACATGGATTATTCAGACCTCACACTGAGTCAAGTGCATTAGTGTAAAAGCACAAAACCAGCTGCCATTTATAATTCATAGGGAAATAACTTCTGAGGCTGTAGATCCAGGACTGAGGCTGTAGACCCAGGACTGAGGCTGTAGATCCAGGACTGAGGCTGTAGATCCAGGACTGAGGCTGTAGATCCAGGACTGAGACTGTAGATCCAGGACTGAGACTGTAGATCCAGGACTGAGGCTGTAGACCCAGGACTGAGGCTGTAGATCCAGGACTGAGACTGTAGATCCAGGACTGAGGCTGTAGACCCAGGACTGAGGCTGTAGATCCAGGACTGAGACTGTAGATCCAGGACTGAGGCTGTAGATCCAGGACTGAGACTGTAGATCCAGGACTGAGGCTGTAGACCCAGGACTGAGGCTGTAGACCCAGCTACGGACTGAGGCTGTAGACCCAGGACTGAGGCTGTAGATCCAGGACTGAGACTGTAGATCCAGGACTGAGACTGTAGATCCAGGACTGAGGCTGTAGATCCAGGACTGAGGTTGTAGACCCAGGACTGAGGCTGCAGACCCAGGACTGAGGCTGTAGACCCAGGACTGAGGCTGTAGACCCAGGACTGAGGCTGTAGATCCAGGACTGAGACTGTAGATCCAGGACTGAGGCTGTAGATCCAGGACTGAGGCTGTAGACCCAGGACTGAGGCTGTAGACCCAGGACTGAGGCTGTAGACCCAGGACTGAGGCTGTAGATCCAGGACTGAGACTGTAGATCCAGGAGTGAGGCTCTAGATCCAGGACTGAGGCTCTAGATCCAGGACTGAGGCAGTAGATCCAGGACTGAGACTGTAGATCCAGGACTGAGGCTCTAGATCCAGGACTGAGGCTCTAGATCCAGGACTGAGGCTCTAGATCCAGGACTGAGGCAGTAGATCCAGGACTGAGACTGTAGATCCAGGACCATAGACTGTATATATTAATGGACAGAGTCACGCCTATCTCCGCCGTTCATAGGAGTTGGCCATGAAAAGTGCTTTCATGGAGCAATCCAAGATGGCCGCGAGTGGTCCCGCCCACAAGAAAATTGTGAAAAATGCGTCAGCCGGCGCAGCTCCATTCATTTGAACGAGAGACTTCAAAAATTCCACGCGAGTAAACTAGAGTGGACCAAAAATATCCACCCCCCTCAGCATTGACACACATGTGGAACGGAGCTTTGGGCCAAGAGCCAACTTTTGGTCCATCCTGTAAAGACGTTTTTGAGAGGTCTGCCAATGCTATCTGTTAGCATTGGCTAATTCTACTTCTGGGTCCACCCCCATCGGCCCGGGGTGGTATTGCAAGCACGTCAGAGCACGTCATTTTGGCCACTTTTGAGCTGGGACCCTCCCCCACTGTCCAGGACTGAGGCTCTAGATCCAGGACTGAGGCTCTAGATCCAGGACTGAGGCTCTAGATCCAGGACTGAGACTGTAGATCCAGGACTGAGGCTGTAGATCCAGGACTAGACCCAACTGAGACCAGGAACAAAAAAGTCCAGATCAAGACCAGGACCAGTGAAAACGTTTTGGATCTAGAGTCATGGATTCTCCACAGTTTATGATTTGAAAATGATGTCCCTCAGCTGTAATACTTTACTCTAAAGAGTCTTTCCAGTGCTTCCTGCCGGGACTCTGAGGCCACAGGGACCTCAGCATCAGTGGGCACCATGAGGCAGACACCAACACACTCTCTTACATTTTATTTATTTATTGACATATTTGACAGGGACAAGTGAACACAATCAACATGTGAACACTACAACATTTATAGCCAAGGGCAGTTTGCAATATCTTTCCCTCGGAGGGCTTTGAACACAAATAATAACACATTTTACATGATAGAATTCACATTATTTAAACGCAGGTGTTCTCCAACTCATTGATGCTTAAACAACTGGTTTGCTTGAAAAAATCGCTTCAGTTCGTGTTTTAGACCAGCCCACTCAGAGTTCAGTTTTAGCTGAGGGCTTAAAGAGTTCCAGAGCTTTGCCCCCTGGACCGAGAAGAACGACTGTCCGAATGTGGTTCTCCGGAGGGGCACTTTCCCGTTAGTGGAACCTCGTGTGATGGACCTTAGAGAAACTATGAGAGCACTC